CCCCAACCCCCCCCCCCCCCCCCGGACACCAAAACGCATATATTTACAGACCTAGTACAGATGGTAGCCATCTATGACGTTCCACATGGTCTGATTGCAAACACTGGCTTCATAATAATTGTGATAAACATTGTTTGGTGGTAAAATGGAACTTTTATATTTGTTGTTAACAATGTATTTATTGTGGAATTTTGAATCTCATATGAAGAGTTGTTATCCCAATCAATTCAACTCTAATGCAAGCTCGAGAAAAACAATCCGGTACTTATTTTAGCACTATTCATTTAAATTCAGTTTAGATAAAACTGCACATATGGTGTCTTTGCCAACTGAACAGACTGTGCAACCGCCCTTAACACCATGTAATTTAGGCCTTAAGTTTACATAAAACGAAGATATGAAAACCTTAATTAATAAAACGATGGTATTATGTTGTCGCCGGTGGGTGCGGAAGACGATATACACTTTAACAATGAGATTTTCGTACTAAAAATACCAACAAATACTCACCATATTTAATATTTCACTTCTGTGTAACACAGGGAATGATAAAATGATGTTTGTTAATTTTCTTTTACAACAAGATGGTTACATTTAACAAATTAAGCATCAAGTTAGTATATTTCTTCTCCGCCTCCGCAAGCACCTGTGCTGACATCACTCGGCACACAGATTGATGACGTAGTGCACAAGTGACCTTCACCAGCACAGGAAGTAGAAGTCGGCTGCTATTTCGTAAGTGTAGTTGAACATTTATTTCTATCTTTTATGTATTTTTCCCCATTCGCACATTTTCCACTAACATTTGATGTTGAGATATTACAGTTCTGTCTGTTTTATGCGGTTTGGTTTCAGTGTTTGCTTGAAATTATTTTCTAGCAAGATATCATTAGTACGCTGTAATTGTCAATGATCTGGACTTTATTACATAAGCTTATGTAAGCGTTTGGCGGAAGAACGCCCATCTGTACGTTTCGACTTTGGATTCTGAGAAAACAATTAGCGTGTATGGGCCAGCAGGCTCGTACACAATGTTTGGAAATGAAAGCACCCCCAGCCCCCCCCCCCTCTCTCTNTAATTTGTTTATTTGGATAAAGATATCGTTAGTTGGGCATGTTTTCTGAAGAATGTGTTCCGTTCAGGCCATTCTGACGGCATGAAGCAAACCCTTTAATAAAACGTTGGTATTATGTTGTCGCCGGTGGATGCGGAAGACGATATACACTTTAACAATGAGATTTTCGTACTAAAAATACTAGCAAATACTCACCATATTTAATATTTCACTTCTGTGTAACACAGGGAATGATAAAATGATGTTTGTTAATTTTCTTTTACAACAAGATGGTTACATTTAACAAATTAAGCATCAAGTTAGTATATTTCTTCTCCGCCTCCGCAAGCACCTGTGCTGACGCCACTCGGCACACAGATTGATGACGTAGTGCACAAGTGACCTTCACCAGCACAGGAAGTAGAAGTCGGCTGCTATTTCGTAAGTGTAATTGAACATTTGTGTCTTTTATGTATTTTTCCCCATTCGCACTTTTTCCACAACATTTGATGTTGAGATATTACAGTTCTGTCTGTTTTATGCGGTTTGGTTTCAGTGTTTGCTTGAAATTATTTTCTAGCAAGATATCATTAGTACGCTGTAATTGTCAATGATCTGGACTTTATTACATAAGCTTATGTAAGCGTTTGGCGGAAGAACGCCCATCTGTACGTTTCGACTTTGGATTCTGAGAAAACAATTAGCGTGTATGGGCCAGCAGGCTCGTACACAATGTTTGGAAATTAAAGC